GTGAGTAAGGTGTGAAAGAACACTTTTTACACAACTAACGTGTTCTTGTGATGGTGGACCCTTCTGATTAGAGCTTAGATGTCGACCTCCGAACAGGACACGTCCTGTAGGTGGGAGGAAATTTTCGCAAAATACAATTCGCTCCTTCAAAGATTTTCCCTTGATACTACACTAGGCACACCATCAACAGAAAATAGCCGAGAAAAACACGAGAAAGGTCAAAAACCGGAAACTCTCCCATCTAAGCTACGTACGACCCCAATCCCTCCAGCGGCCACATTCGACCCCACTCGCTGGTAATCCTCTGAAGGCGTCGACTTTTTTATTTATTTGGTCGATACGTTGAAGCCAACTTGAGAAAATTCCCAACAACAAAACAAGTGATACAATTGAAGAAATATCTGTTCGAGATCTTGAATGTAACCTTTGTCGCAGAGTATTCCGTAGCGTCAGTTGGAACATTTTCCGGAGTACCGTTGTCATCATCGACAAATGCTGAGACGGGTATCTGCAACAGAAGCAAATACACAACAAGCAACAATGATACTTGTTCACTTATTCGAATAAGAATAATGATAACAATGAATTAAATATTAAATCAGATAATTATAAAGTACCTTGATGTTGTAGACATGAACGTCTCCAGCTGCCACTGCCAGCTGATGGGAATGAGCAAGGGCAATAGGTGAAAATCGAAGATCGGTAACGGGGAATGCGAGATCAAGTCGGAGTGAAACGACACGTTGCCACTTTCTGCAAAAGAGAAGCTTTGCGACTGTAGAAGTTTGCTATTTGAAAAAACGTAGAAACTCAAGTCATGCAACGGAACAAAGATGCAGAATGGCAAAACTTCCTCAACATTCGAACTTTTACAGAGGAGAACAAAACCTGATAAAAAGGAAACTAGTGGGATGGACGGAACACGAATGTTTCGCTCTCGCCTTGGCCTCATAGGCTACGTAATTTGGAAAAGACTCGAAATGCACGGATGACCACAGGTTTCCTACTCGAGCAATACTAATAACTCAGCAGGATGCATGGCTTTGGTCCTCCTAGCTCACCGCAACCATTTGAAATGTACATTCTATTTCAAACGGCTACTTCGACCGACCATCTTTCCCTGGCTAGTAAGGAAACAACTAATGGCTACTCAACGACATACCTTAAGTTCTCATTGTGCTCATAAATCACTATCCTTTCGTCGTTTTCGGCACGTTTATCGTCTGAAGCAACTGCTAAGAGGGGTCGATGTATTCGGGATCGACTCCACTCCACGCTACCACATCTTGTGTAGAATGCCTTGAAAGCAAAAATTGGCAGTAATTCGGCCAGGAAGGAGAATAATATAGCAGAGATAGCCAAGTTTACACCAACTGCATCGCTTTCGCACAGAAACGTATGTTTAATTTATGCAAGGTTACTTTAAGTGAGCCACTTAAAATTTTTAAAAGGAGAATCAAATTAGAAATTGTTGTTATTAAGTTGTCAGTGTCAAGCACATTTCAGTTAAGACTTGACCAAACCTTAACTTTTTTTGAGCAAGGATATGTGATGGGACGTATATGGTTAATCCGAAGTCACGGCAATATAGTTGTTGCGAGCAAGGTCATTCGTACCAAGACCCTATCTATTAGAAGTGGAAGGGCTGGTTATGACAAGTAAACCAGCTAAAAATACTCTATCACTCTCTACGCGATGTCTGAGACTAACAATATAGGCCTGGATCCGATGTTGAAAAAGTTCTGCTAGAAAAAATCTGGGAAAAAATGTACTTAGACAGGGTCAGAAGATCCGAGTTGCGCGTACGATTGTCTGGTTTCGGCATACTAAAGCAATTCCTTCTGCATACTAAAGTCATTCGGAAACTCTGACTCAAACCCCATATATTAAAGAAAATCTGTAGATTGAAATGTACCTGAAGTTCATGACAGAGAGACCACCTGGACAGGTCCATCACATCTGCCGCCTCATAAATGCGGACGACCCCTTGAGCCGATACTGTCGCCTGAATAAAGAACCATTTTAGGAAAGATCAGCAACACAACGTATGAGTAGGGAACGACACATCTTAAAGGAAATTTACGAGCAATGAGAAAAGGATGTCTGCATGCGTTATCCTGCTCTCATGCTCGGGTTTTATATCTACTATTATTCAGAGTATTATTGGGACCTCTCATCTTATGTTCGGAATCCATACAGCAGCAGCCTAGCAAAAAATATTTGCAGTTCGGCTTGGTGGGGGGGGGGGGAAGTAGGGGCGCCGAAAGCACTGTGTGGACCTGTACATCAATATTGCTAGCGTGGCTCTCTTGTACCTTTTTTCAGAGCATCACAAGACTCTACAGGTCATATAAAAGTGAAATCTATTACTCAACATGAACTAGCCAAACTGCAAACATGAGCCCCCCCCCCTCAAAGCCGAACAGCACCAAAAGCTTATTTGCCATCATTCAATCTGAA